CACGTACGCACGCACGTACGCACGCACTTACGCACGCACGCAAGCACGCACTCACGCACACACACACACACACACACACACACACACACACACACCCCCCCCTCACGCTCACGCACACGCACACACACAGACACACACACACACAGACAGACACACAGACAGAACACGCACACAGACACACATACACACAGACAGACACACAGACACACGCACTCGCACTCTCACACACACAAACACACACACACACACACACACACACACACACACACACACACACACACGCATATATATTGTGAGCCTTTCCTAATTAAGTTAGTTGGGGGGGAGTACGTTACACCCTGAAGACACCCACATTGTAATCGGATGGAAAAGCAAATGCTGGCATCCAATTCCACTCTTGCTGTACGCATGACGAACGATGTAGCACACCGTTTGGTCCAAATGCGTAGTAAATCGGCAACGAAAATTTGGAGTCTGGCCCAAAGTCTGGTTGTCCGATGGTGTAAGGGAGAGGGAGGAATTAATTCATGCACTTCCTGCGCACACTTTGAAATGCATCCTGTAGAAAATCGAAAGGCTGGCTACTTTGTGCCTGTATTTGAAGCTGTTAAGATTGGTTTTACTCAGATTTGGGTCACCAATTAGCCGCTTAGTACACCATTCCATTCACAAACAACACAAAGTACAAAGCGAGTACGTGGTATTTTGCATTATTAGCCCGTATATGGCGGCAATACTCCATGCACGACTAAACTTGCGCTTCATGGAGTGAGTCCCGGCGTGAAGTATCGCCACACCTTTGGAAGGACTCCTAGTATCCTTGCAGCTGCTTTAGCCTTGGACTCAATGAACCCCCCCGAAGTTCAGGTTTGATGATATCTCAACCCCCAACAACTGTAGGCGATCGGTGTTTTCCAGTATTTCGGAAAAAAGGAGCCAAAGTGAGCTGGCTCTTATTTTGCAGTGAAAAAATACGCTTATCTTTTGGAGACGTTGAATTTTACAAGATTGGCATCGCCCCATTAGGAGGCTGCTTGTAGCTAACTTCATCTCTAAAGATTCACACTCTGAACCATTGCTTCTCTCTCGGACTAGATTTAAACCGGATAGCCCAAGCACTTGGTAGGTATCTCTCCACAAGTGAGCTGTCGTGTGCATATCCGTGGATACCGGGCATAAGTAGATCATTAATATGCAGTAGTAAGAGAGTTGCGGAGAGAACGGATCCCTGAGGAACACCGGCTTTAGTCGCCACAGGATCGGATGTGCAGCCATCAACCACGACCCGTTCACTCAAAAAGCCCTTTACCCAGTCAGGCCAGGAGATAAGCCGTACTATACTGTAAAACGTACGTTACTCAAAAAACTACCATCTCAAATTCTGTTAAAGGTCTTCGAGACATCAAGGGAAACAGCAAGTGCTTCCCCACTGTTCACGAGTGCTTTGTTCCATACGCGCCTTCGATCAATAATACGCGCGTAGACGATTCGAGACCGATTTCGGCGAAACCCATACTGGCGGTCACTTGGATGGTCATTCTGTTCTAGGTATGCTATTAAGCTGGCGTTCAACATACACTCTATAATCTAACAGTGTGGAGGTAATTGAAATTGGCAGGGTCGGCACGGCTGCCTTTTTTGGAACTGGCTGCACTTTGTCCAACGAGTAGTAGAGTAGTTGGCACTATTCCAGTCCTAAATTAAAGGCGGCTAGTCAGCACAGGAGACAACTTAGGTGCACAAGCAATACCATATGGCCCACTAGCTTTATTTACGTTTAGATACCGCAAGATTTTAAGAACCTCCTTATTTGTAATACGAACCTCCGACATTGAAGTTCCGCAGTGAAGTAATTCAATTAGAACCTTGTTGCCACTGTCCAGACGTAAATTGCAGGCAAAGAGCGCGTATGCGCTAGTGTGCCACTAAGTTTTTAAGTTGAGGCAGTGTAGGTAGGCAGAAGTTTGTCTTGGCCGCTTTGGCAAGAGACGAAAAAGCTCTAGTGCCGGACAGTCTGACAGTTTTGCGCTTTTGCGGCTTTCCGTAATTCAAAAAGTATGTAGGACTTAGCGGCTTGGTTGAATGCTCTCTTCTTTAAGCTGGTATCCGGAGTTTTGCGGTCTCAAGCGTCATCATAGGATAGTTAAGCTAAATGCTTGCGCTTTTCAGTTTGGGCGCATTCAGCGTTAAACCGTGGGCAAGCTTTGCTACCGGTGAAAGCGTCAGAAAAGGAGATAAAATACTCCATAGCCTGATGCAACATATCGGTTATCGTATCGAAACAGACCTCCCTCTCAAGGATAGGATATAAAAAGTGTCGCACTGCATTTCAATAAGCTGACTTATACCGGCATATTCGTCGAACACCTTGGTAACAATACAATCAGGTGGCGAATATGACGATACACATTTCACCAGACAGTGGTCAGATGTATCCAAGGGGAAGGTAACCTGCGCGTCATACCTATCTGGTTCGGAAGTCAGCAGAAGGACTAAACAAATGGTTGTGTTACCGTCTACATCGGGTACTCCAGTCGCTTCCTTTATCACCTGGGACCTCCTAGCGTTAATGCGAAATTCCACGCATCGCTACCAGCACGGTCTGTTTTATGGCATGGGAACAACCAGTCTTGGTGACAGGCGTTAAAGCCCCCCCCCCCCCCCCCGAAAAACCAGCTGCACAGTAAGATTCCGATTTAAAGGGTCACGTCAGCGGCCTCTCTAAAGTGATCAAATAATCGAGTTGTCTCCTGGTCACGGCTGTGCGATCGATAGACACAGACACAAAGAATTTTATCAATACCTGTAAAGCAACCAGATTGTCGAAAAAGTGGGGTCTTCAAGGCGACGGAGACGCTGGATGCAATTATCATTGCGGACATACGCACAGAAGAATATCCGGTACGTAGGTGAAATTTAGGCTCCAGGGAAAATCCAGGATAGTCGAGGTACGCCGCTCAATGGTCATCCAATTTTGGTCCCCGTCAAGAAAAGTAAGTACGGTTTTTCAGTCTCGACAAGGTGGGACTGCATTGCCCATTGCATAGCATTGACATTGATATAATTGCAACACTCGGATATCAGAGTGGTGCACTTTTAATGAGAGGACATGCGACCGCTGTTTAGCCATACTATTCTTTTTAAGACACATTAGATTTAAGAGTGAATAAGGATGGAGAATGGCCGTTGAACGAGGCGTTGTGTTTATTGGCTACTAAACGAAACCAACAGAGTAATAGCGGGGGTGCCCCCATGACCAGAATGCCATCAGGTCATCTCGCTCAGTCGCTAACCGACACGATGGAGCCATCCTGGGAGTTTTCGCTAGTTGGCAGGGCAACTCCTTTCATGAGTAGCTAATTCACTAATTGGGCCCCCAACTACTTGCGGTCGACCAGCGGAACAACGTGCTTCGGATTTCGCTACCCTCCACGACCAAGCACGAATGGGTCGGCTCGACCGGGTTACGACCACGCTCTCACAGCATACGAGCGTAAACTAGCAGCTTAATACTGCTGTGTTTCGTATGGTGAGTGTAGAGATCCGGAAAACCTTTGTACTGTAAACGAGGCATTCCATCGTAGTAGTCCTTAGCGGTGACAACGCATCTACGCTTTGATTCTTAACTGAGGATAAATGTAGATGTCTATGGGCCACAGCATCCACCTACCATCAGGTGGACTGTCTGCTCGTTTGGCACCCCTATTCTATAAAAAATATATAAATTCCAAATTAACATATTTAAGGAGTAAGTAAAAAACTAATGTTTCAATTAATTTATTATTTTCAAACAATTTAATAAAATTAGTGAAAATACAACATTTTTCATAAATACATTAAACTTTCAGTCTTTAATGCTATGAAACGAGTAAAACGACTATTTTTGAGAATGTCAATTTATAAAATAGTCAACAATAAAAAAACTCCGAAGTAATGTTAATTACAACAAAATATTTCTACAATATGATGCAAAGGGGCTTTGTAGTATATATAAGTATCAATCTACCCCCAGGCCAACAACCCTTATGGGCCGTCTCGTTGAAACTCGAAACTTATTTAACATGGTATGAACTTCCAGGTGTATATAAAGTACTATGTGTATACGACAGACGTCTTCATTGTGGTGTTACCAGATAAATAAAAATCAATGTTATATTTCGGATATAATAAATGGTATGTGGTTACATAATGTATTGTTATCTCTATCGTTCTTTTTAGGCCAACTCCTGTTCCAAGTTCGCAGTACACAATTGACGTAAACGGCTACTGTTTCCCAACAAAAGCGATCTTAAAAGGTGGGGCCGTTGATAAATTATCAGCGCTGTCTATGAGGACTAAGTCCCAATGTATTATTATACGAATATTGTAATTTCGAAGTAAAGCATCATTTTATTCCTATATAAATTAAGTATTCAAAACAATATTGGAGATAACTTTTAAGAATTGTTGTTATTTCACACTTGCAACATAATACTCAAATTAATGTACTAATGTAAATGTACCCACATAAACTATAATTATAGTAAGCATACAGGGTTATTTTTCAAAGAGTAGCCAAATTTTATAGTTCAAATATATAAATGATGATATAAAGTCAGTTTTTGAAAATATGAGTAAATAAGGCTTTCTACTTTTATTTGAAATTATGCCAAATTGAATAAGATTTGTGGGCAACAACGTTTTTGCATACCGATCGACCCTTACGAATGTGTGCGTGCAGAGTAAAGTCATTTTGACAAACATTTTGAATTTAAAAGTAAAAAGAACATAGTGTTTGGGATTTTTTTAAATTAATTTTTCTTTACCATTTGCCTGCATTACGTATTCTGAAATTTCTTTGTAAATTTGGCCGGATATTGCACAATGACCCTGTATATAAATATATTATATTTTTATTACACTATAATAACCTCTCTTCTAACAATAACCGTCACAATAACCTTCTAGTGCTAAATTCGTATGGCTTCGTTAAAATTCATTTAACAGTCTAGACTCAACACTCATATTTTGGAGCGATAAGGCAGAAGTCTCCATTGGGATTGAATTATATCCTTGTTGCTCTCTATCTCCCGCAGCTTTGTGTCGTCTGGAAAAATAATCAAATCAAATTTAATGACCAACAGAGAAATACGTTAATAATCCGTGTAGCGGCGGTGTAAGAGTATCCACTACGCCATGACATCATCCCGTCAGCGTCGTAAGAGACCACAGAGGGCATCTAATCTTGAGATGAGCAGCGACTTCCTAATAAAAAAATGTTTTATTTCAGTAAAACTTTTACAGTTAGTTTGCCGAGGCCTCCCAGAAAATAATCATAAGATACTTGTGTTGGGAGAGTCTCGCTCTACCTACGTAATCATAACAACCTAGATTTACATCAAAATATCAAATAGCCAATTTTAATCTTAATAGTACATTTATTCATGCAGTTTAAAAAGAAAGAAAGAACTACGACAAATATCCCCTTACGAGGCAGTCTAAGGGGGAGCCCCGTGTTCACCAGTGGACTTTAATAGGCTGCAATGATAACGGTAACAGAATTACTATAACCTGTAATGTTCACTGCTCTGTAGCACAGTAGCTGAGCTGAGTTGCTGCGCTGAGAGTCGCGGGTTCGAATCCCGCACGGAAGAATAAGTATTTGTTACATACATAAACACTCACGCCTGTCACCTAGAGGGGTATACCCAAGGCGTAAACAAGGCACTCACTCGTGCAGGACTGAAATGTAGTGACTTCCCTCTCTTCTCCCATAACCTAAGTCCTGGATATTCAAAATGTCACAAACCTTTATCCAGTATGAAGTATTGCATCAGCCTTATAAACGCCCTCGCTGGGACCGCCATGTTGATGTACGGGTAACACGCGCCCGTCTGGGTCTTGGCGTTGCACACTATAATACCTATCACTTCCACGCGTCCGCGACTGAGACGGAAGATTGGTCCACCACTAAAGAAAGAGAGAGAGAAAGAGACTTTTAGAATCAAGTGACAAACGAGCCAGTTCAACTGAGACCCTGATTGAAGTGGCTACTACAATAAACTCCAAATAAAAAAGGCTAAAGATGCATCGCAAAGTCTTTATATACAGCATTCTATGAGCTGATTACCATTCACTGAGTTATCACTTTGAGGACAGCCTTTAATTAAACTGGGTCTCTTACCCGTAGAACCGGAACATAACAGTCTGGGCTAACGCTTAGCAACAGTTTAAGTAGTATTTTATAGTACTTAGAAAAAGAGACCAATGAACACACATTCCACCTGATGCTAAGTCGATACGGTGTTCCATAGGTGCAGATGCGTTGTCATCTCTAAGGACTGAGATGGAATGCCTCGTTTCCAGTAAAAAGGGTCTCCGGTTCTCTACACTCACAATACGAAACAGCGGTGCTATTTACGTTGGTATACCGTGAAAGAGCGGTCTTTTCTATGTTAAAATCACTTAAAATAAACACCTGGCCAAGCTGGGCTCCAACACTTCAAGCAATTTCGCACGACTATAAGCTTTGGATTCCGCGCCTTTGTTACAGGGAACGAGTGAAACCGGCCACAGTCTAGCGTGTCACTGCTGTACTATCATAATATGTCAGAGGTGTCACTGACAAAATTGTGCATGTTAACATTTTGCTTAACGCCAAAGAAGATTAGTCAATTTTTAACATCGGTCAAGTGTTAATATACCTCTGCAAGATACAGGAGTGTACAAGCTTGATTGTGAATGTGGTCTGTCTTACATAAGAGTAATTAAAAAATAACCCGCGTATAAGAACACAGCCGATACACAGAATCAAAGCTACGGGAAGTTTGCAGTCTGTGAATAAGTACAGGTCCGCCACTACATCAAACTAGACCTCAAATTCTCGGAAAAGAACAGTGATTCCTAATGATTCTAAAGACGATTCTCGAGGCGATTAAAATTAAGAAACATTGGCTGGGTGCTACCATCTGCATGGGATCCTATAATTAATAAAATTAGATCCTAACCCAAGCATACAACTGCAAGACTTCGAGATACTATAAGCTTATTCTGCATAGATCGGTTCTAAAATTATTAATTTTAAACCGAAGGTGGGCTAATAGTCAACCAAATCTAAGAAATACCTTTTGACGTTTCACATTAATCATTCCGCAATAAATTTGCACCAGCGTTCTCACACAAAAAATTAAATAACTTAAAATAACCTTTTACGTAAATCCGAAGAATTATGATGTTATTTATATTTCATTACAACGTGTATAGTTTTTTATCACTAATTTAAACTTTAATTTTTCAAAAAAATTTAATAGTAAGCTCTTATTAAAAAAAAACTAGTACCGTTGGCTTGCTGGTTCTTCCCAGGACATTTTTTTTTGCGAACCGGTGGTAAATGCGAAAAATGTCTTTCAATAAGTATTATTCATAATCTATATTTAATAAAAAAAAAGTTTCTGTTTCTGTTTCGAGAGCTTACTGTGCATAATTTTGTGTTTGTCTTCTTATTTTGTGACTCGGCTTTAACTTTTTGGAGTGTTTCTTCTATATTATAGTTGTAGCACGAATGGGTTGGCTCAATCAGGACAGGACCACGTTCTCACAGAATACCAGCGTAAAATAGTAGTTTAAAGCTGCTGTGTTTCGTATGGTGGGTGTAGAGAATCGGAGACCCTTTTTACTGGACACGAGGCATTCCATCTTAGTCCTCACGGGTGACAACGCATCTGCATTTTGATTCGTAATCGAGGACAGATGTAGATGTCTATGGGGCACAGCAACCACTTACTATGAGGTAGACTTTGTGCTCGTTTGTCACCCTATACTTTAAAAAAACAGCAATTGGTTTTTATATTATACGCCGTGACGTCTTAACGTACAACTTAACAGCAATATAATATAGGGACTAATTCTTGCTTCTCTATGGGCCATAGCATCCACTTACCATCAGGTGAGCTGTGTGCTCGTATGTCACCCAATGCTATAAAAAATATATTCGTTAAAACATGTGCCCATGTCACAAAGAATGATTGGGCAAAAGTGCTAGAAAAACAAAAAAAAATGATTATGGATGACTTTGAAAGAGACATTAATTTAGACTGCATTATTGAAAATGAAATAATACTTAATATAAACAACGACATCTCTACTAACTAGTAGAGATGTCGTTGAGTGGAACTCCACTGAAAGTAATGGAATAAATTTATTTTTAATCGAGTTTCATTCTTAAATTTTTAGAACTGTGCATCTAGATATAAGCAGTAACAACAAATACCAAGAATCTGATAAATCCTGTGTTTTAAATTATCCGTTTTTAATTTATTCTGGCATTATTCGAACCAAACTGTAAATGACTACCAACTCTAAATAATCGATAACGATTTTTTAAGAATCGAATGTTGTACGTTCCCATTTTTTGGTTGGCATGCTTGGTGCAATAAGTCTGACAGCTGTCAAAACGTATTTCTTAGATTTGGTTATTGAAGTAATATGTACTTACGTACTGGAACAGCTATATCAAACAAAAAATGTGCGCTACTCTGTATTCGCGCGGTTGGTTTTGTATCATAGAATAAACATAGGTACCCGTAGGTACCTAATAGTAGATTGTATTGTTAAATAGGTAAGTTATATCGAGAACAATATTTAAATTTTGTCATTTATTTTGTATATTATATTTGCTTATTTAATATAATGTTACATGATATTATAGTCATAGTCATAGTCATTTATTCGAATCGAATAAAATTTAAATATCATTTGACAATCATTCTATATACTTATATACATTTAATACTTTTCATATCATAATTAAATATTTTTCATGTCATAATAGATTAAAATATATTAAGCAGTACATAAACAAAAAAAATTAACATTCATTAAGTTTATTTTTGTCATTTAGGTATTCGTCAACTGAGTAGTAGCTTTTCTTAATAAATAATGATTTGAGTTTATTTTGGAATTTTCGGTGGCAATAAATAACTTTAAATGAGATAGGTAAAGAATTAAATAGTGCAATGGCTTGAAGGCTTGTGCTGTGGCGTACAATATTCAATGTTGGGGTTATTGAAGTGTTTAAATCTTTTCGACGTAAGTATGTAAGTGAAACTAAGATGTACAGAGAGGGAACCGTAAGTATGCCAAGTTTTCGAAAATGTTCTTTACACGACTCAATTTATATCACAATTACATTTTAATGATATTTTTATCTGAATATTTTAAAAGGAATCTAAGTCAAATATAAAAAACATACTAAATGTATGTTTAAGAAAACTTATTAACATAACATTTAAATTACAAACATATTTATTTAAATTAGAATAAAAGTCGTTCATGAATGCTGGGCACGCGAGAGTTAAAAATGGACGAATTTATTCCACTTTGACTTTGATGTGAAAACCCAAAAATAAAATAAAAGAATAATAAGCAGATTTAAACATGAAAAATTTAGCCTAATTATATAACTCTTCTACAAAAAAATGTGTATAATAATATATTCGTCCTATACTTAAGTACCCACAGAAATGTCGCATCTGAACATATTAATTTCATAATTTATATTCCCTGACACGAGATGGCGTCTGAGGAATAATTTGTTTTATTATTAATACGTAATACTTTTTATTGATTAAGTATCTTATTAACCGATGAAAAGTAATTCCTTGGTTATTACTGACATTTCTTGAATTATTTGTGCAATATCTAAGTACACACGACGGCATATTTTTATCAAGTGATTTTTTTTTAAATTAACACAACACGTGATAACTCTATAAGCGCCTAGCGAGTGACTGATTAAAGTGCGGTGTATGCACCGCAGTTGAGTGGAACAGAGTAGCTAAATGCAGTGTCGCCTCTAGTACGTAGTACATAATAGCTCAATGGATTTGGTTGACTATAGTTAACTATGACATTGGGACGTTAAACATCTCAATAGCCCTCGTGATCATGGGTGCGGTAAAGTACTGAAAACGTCGAAAATATGAAAAAGTTAGTAGATAAAACGCGATAAATTCCTTAATACTAGTTTCAGGATAAAATTTTTCGTCGTTTAGACACTGTATTTTTTGGCTCTGTAAATGAAGAATTAGTTTAGAGGCTGTCTTTCTGTTTTCAGGGATAACGCACCAGTAACATGCGTTAATCACTTCATGTATAAAAATGATTAAAAAACGCGGCAGACCGACTTAAAGCCGGACTGAACGCAGCACGAGGTCCGCAGTATCGGTCACTTTCGCACATAAAATAAAAAAGTGACAGTCTGACCTGAAGCCGGACTGCACGCAGCAGGAGGTCTGCAGCATGGAGGGCGAGGCGTTGGTGACGTGTCCGCTGGTGACGGCGGGCCGCAGTGCCGCCAGCCGCTCCTCGCTGAAGTACGGGTAGCCCGCCGCCGCCACGGACTCGCCTGCAGACCCACGGCGCAACAACATTTACATGAACATTGTACTTTTATTTTATAAAAAACAGTTTACGGACATATATTGCACAAAGACAACAGAAAAGAATATATTTGTTTTTCTGTGCGGGATTCAAACTCGCGGCCCCCAACGTTGCAACTCATTGAAGCTACGGAGTCATCGCCGTCGTTTTTTTAGCATTCAATTACATCAACACAGGGCTCCCAACAAATTGCCTCATAATGTCCTCCAAAACGAATTTCGGTCACGGGGATCAGTTTTCGGAGACTAGCCATCTGCTCAGGATAGGATTATAAAACAAGCACACGTGCACTCTCTATTCCTTCACTCTCATAGTTCGGGGGGACGGCAAACCGACATAACAAAAGATTTAAATCGATGAGTGAGCTCACTCATTCCCAAATTCGCAATCAGTGCTAGGCATGTCGATTCACTCTTAAAAAAATCGATATCTGAATCGAAGATACTAAAATCGATTATCGATTACATCGAGGATTAAAAGATCGATTTTCGATTAATCGCGACATTTTCAAACTTGAAATTTCAAGAATTTGCGATTTTTTCTTTAATTGAACTTTAATATTTTTTAAATAAAATATTAGTAATCTTATTAATTAACACTACTAATATTCCTTTTAACCACTCCTGGTAAGGTTGAAACGCTTGTGTTAGGAGTGGTTCGCGCATATGCCATTCGATCCCTTTTTTTTACAAAGTGATGCTATGTATCACTTTTATTTGACACTTTAGGCTAAAAACAACAACAATACTTTAACAAAAGTGCAAACTGTAACGTACATTTCTCGATAAATCTGTTTCAATCTAATAACTCACTATTTATTGAATTGAAATGAATGCTACACGAATACAATACTGGTTATTTCCTTACTATAAACCTCTATAAACTTCAACATATAATATTTATTTACAGTATCTAGGTATTTAAAAAGTACTCTGTCTATACTTACAGGTGTTTTTGACAATAAATAATATAAATTCACAAGTTCACAATTCAAACAGGTTCACAGCTATAATATTATATTGCAGTATGTATATTATGGAGTGATGAAGAAAGGAGTACAGACTGTGTTTTAAAAAAGTTGTCCGTAGAAAACCGTTAAATAAGGGTGGCGCTACTGTAGAACGCGGCAAAAATTTTAGTGGGATAGACGACTTTTTCGAGGTTATATTTACTAAATGAAATTATTTTAGATTTTAGAGCTACTGAAAAGTTTAGCAGCATACTTCACACCGTCGACAACTGCTAAGTTCATTTCATGTAGCTGTTTCCTGTAGCTACTCCAGCGCTGTTGTGGAGAGTTTTTAACTTGTCTTTATTGCTTACAGATTGACACTTTTTCACCTATTCTCGTATGAGAGATTGTTCTCCTTACCTCTACACTCCATAATGTATATGTTATGTAGTCTTTGTTCACAGCACAGATTAAGTTAGACCAACATTCCACAAGTAAGATTAGAATTAGAATTTTAGAAATGAAAATGAAATGACAACTTTTCGATATTGTTGGATGCGTTCATAAATATTTATTTAATTCAAATATATATTGCGTTCAAATTATCAACCAAGTACGACCGGTTGTTTTTGCGTCTATCGAACAGCAAAAAAATTAAAAAACTGCGGTATTTTACCACGGCCAGTTTGGGAATTTTATCGCTAGTTCTTGAATCAGATGAATCAGCCCGATTCGAGAGGTTTTGAGATCGATTCCGTGAATCGATGCAGTGCTCCGAATCGATTATTTTACTCCAAAGAATCGATTTTAGATCGACATGCCTAATCAGTGCTCATTTGTGCGCGATGACAGTCAGACGTTGCACGTTGGAACTAACGCGTTGAATTCACCAAAAAAAATACTCTCAGAATGCCATCGTGTGCCTTTCGAAAGTGCAATAATAATTCTTGAAACACAAATGAAGCTATTGTCTCAGTACTATTCTAATAACCAATTTATTTAGATACTCAGATGTATCAAGGAAGCGTTTTACAAAGGGATCATCTATAAATAGACATAAACAGACGGAAATGGTGGTAGACAGAGAAGGTAGTACATGTATTTACATGTAGGTAATATATTTCCGTAAGATAATAAGAGATGATACTGACCGTATTGAGCACGCATTAGTGTGCGCACGTCAGCATCTTGCAAACGCACGCAATCAAAAAAAATTGCAACAGTTTTTCAAGGTGAAGGCGCATCGAACGATTTAAATCTTTGGACATAGCCGAAGAGAGATCAGGCGCAGAACCAACGTGCTTTCGTGACACGAGGCTGAAACACTGCCAACTTACTGACTCCAGGCTCCTACTGCGAATTTCTTGAGAGAAAACCCCGATAACTGGCTTTAGCCCGACCTGGGATTCGCACCTGGTACCTCATGATCAACAACCGCGTTTGCAACCACTAGACAAACGTGGCAGTCAAGATTACCCTATAACGGGGGTAATGGCCACAGGTGCCACGCTTGGTAGGTAGGTTGACAACCGTAGTGTTATTTCTCCGAAATGGTGGTGGTATAAGAATGTTCACTACCCCATAAATCATCCCGTGGGTGTCGTGAGAGGCAACATAAGGAAATGAAACAGTAGAAGGGTAGTAAAACCTAACCTGGTGACAACTCAAAATAACGAAAAATATATGGTTGCCAACTCGCCTGTTAGTTTACGTTTACGGGAGCCTTATGTTCAGCAATGGACTTTTGATAAGCTGCAACGATGATGATGACGATGATGAGTAAACTCATTATTTATGATTATTAAAAGTTAGAGAAATTTGTTCCTGCAGTTGTGTAATTTTCATCGAACCTAACTGCCTTTGTAAAAGCAAGAGAAAGGGAAAAAATGACCCAGAAAGAATTAGAAAAAAAACAAGTTTGCAAGTATGTATATACCTTTTTCAGCTGGCTCCTGAGCGAATACTGCAGGCGACAAATGCGTCCAATATTCAGGATTACTGTACAACAAAGCGAGGTCGTACGCCTTGTCGTCCTTTGTTTTGTATCGGACTATAGCCGTCTCGCTCACGCCTTGGCAGTAAACAGACACCTTATATATTTCGTGCTAAAAATATAAGTAAATACATTATTATTTTATAAAACATTTCTCTTTTAATAAACAATTAATTATAGACAGTAGGTCAGTAAGATCAGCAGTCAGCTTCATATCTGCCAAAGATTTCGTGTGGTTAGGTACTACTAGTTCCTCACTTCTGCCGCAAAACTAAATAACATTTACTGATTTTTCTGGTTCAAAGGGTATGGTAAACCATCCATTCCATAATTCCATTACATCCCATAAAAGTCCAAATTTGAACTTAGACTTCCGAAATAAATACCTCATAATTTTATGTGGTAGAGCCACGCTACAGCTATATTATGATTGTAGCGCGAATGGGTCGGCTCGACCGGAGGAGGACCACGTTATCACAGAATACCAGCGTAAATAGCAGCTAGATGCTGCTATGTTTCGTATGGTGAATGTAGAGAACCGGAGACCCGTTTTACTGGAATCAAGGCAATCCATTTTAGTCCTCAGGGGTAACAACTCATCTGCATTTCAATTCTTAATCGAGGATAGATGTAGATGTCTATGGGCCACAGGAGCCACTTACCATCAGGAGGGCTGTGCCCTCGTTTTTTATTTAAGTAGAATAGGGGGACCCTTATTCTATTTAAAGAAAAAACCGGGGCGTGTCGCTAGTATACAATAAATAAATATTTGCAGACATACATTTTTGACGACGTGTGCGCAGGTGACGACGTATCCGCCTCCGAGGTAAACACCAGCGCCCCACGCGGCACCGCAACGAACTAGCACCGTTGTATTGTCGATGCAATCTGTTGTCATAGAAGAAGAACTTTGTTCAAGGCGACCAGTCTCAGCGAAGACTAGCAATCTGCGCGGGACTGGATTACAGTGCTCGAGTGTGTGCGCAAGCTTTCCAAGGAACGCGAGTGAAACAACGCGAATTTCCTGATTCCCGGCTTCGTAATTCGATTGATTTTAGTCAGTCTCGGGATTCGAGACCGGAACATCCCGAACAGTAGTCACACTGCCGATCATAAACTACCGAAGCAATCAAAAAAGGCAGTTTAAATACAACTTGTGCTTAGCAAAGGCTAAACTTAAACCTAATTAAAATAAATGTTATATGAGTCATGATAGCTCAGGGACCGTGATGGTTTTTATATGGTAGAGCCATACTGCAGCTTTATTTTGGTGTAGCACCAATGGGGCGGCTCGACCGGTGTAGGACCAAGGTCTCACAGAATACCAAAAATATTGGCTTAATGTTGCTGTGTTTCGTTTGGTCAGTGTAGAATCGGAGAGCCTTTTAGTCACGACCCTTTTGTGGCATGAATGGGTCAGTTTGAGTGGCGTACAATATGGGAATTCCACGCTCTCACAGAACTTCGATATAAAACAGCATCTTAATGCTTCTGTATTTCATATGACGATTGTAATAGGTGACGCTTATTATAAAAACAACTTTCTATGTTGGTTCACATGGGTGAAAACGACATTTTAATTCTTAATCCAAGACAGATGTCGGTGTCTATGAGCAGAACATTTATTTATTTAAAACTTCATATACTTACACACGTGGTATATTTGCGGATTTAATGCCTGAGGCATTATCTACCGGTCTACCTTGGGGTGATGCAGAGATAGAATGAAGTAAAAAATTAATATGAAAATACTAAACTAAAAGAACTATTTTTTTAATATATATAAATAAAATTCATTAAGATGTAAATATTACATCTAAACACAATATTAAAATAAACTATAACAAGAATAATACAATAAAATATTAAATAACTAATATAATAAAAATGTATAATACATAAGTACATGTTAGATGTATATAAACTCATAAGGATATACAAATACACATATACAAAAATATAATATGCATAATAACAATATATAAATTTGCTTGTCATCAGGTGGATTGTGGACTAGTTTGTCTACATTTATTTACTAGGGTGACACTAAACGTTCTTAGAAAATCAAAAACTGAACAAACTAGCAAGTTATTACTTCTATTATATGTTTTCCAAATAGTGTCCATTTACATCAATACATCGCTGCATCCGATGGAACCACTGAGAAAAGCATTTTACGCACTCGTCCTTAGAGGTCTATTGACGGCATTTCGAAACGCAGCTACTGCTTCCTCGGCGTCCATAAAACGTTTTCTTCGAAGCTTTTCTTTTATTTTCAGCAGGTAATAAATAAAAATCGCAAGGTGCGAGGGACTATAGGGTGACCCAGTAATTCCACGTCTGACGTCGCCAAGACGCCGATTGTTTGCTTGGTGGTATGCGGCGAGACGTTGTTGTGGTGAAGGAGGATCCTACTACGAGGTCGTTTCTCCCGAACTTTTTCCAAGACAGGTGGCATACAATTGTTAGTGTACCACTTTGCAGTAACTGTTTTTCGATCCTCTAACACAATTATTGTGTCCTGTCCTTCTGAAGAACGAGGCCGCCATCTCTTTTCCCACGCTGCGACAATGAACTTAGCTTTCGTCACCCGTAAGTATGTCGAACACTACATTTGAGTCACCTCCGTTAAATCTATGAACCATTTCACGATACCAATCAACACGACAAAGTTTTTGGGCCTCTGTCAAATTATGAGGTATCCATCGGGCACAAAGCTTCCTGACCGCTAAATGTTCATGGAGGATTTTTTGCACTTGACTCATACCGATGCCTAAGCTTGTTCGAATCTGCTGATAAGTCACTATTTTGTCAGTATATATACGCCGCATAACACTGATGTTATCTTCAGTCGTCGCCGTAGAAGGCCGTCCCTCACGCAGATCATCAGTGAGATTAGTGCGATCACGTTTAAACTCATTAAACCTGTTGTAAGCAGTGGCACGAGATAGGGCTTTATCGTGAAAGGCCAATCGAGATTTATCATAACTTTCTTGTTGACGACTTAAATGACATTGAAAGTCATAAAAAAATTATTGTACGAGAATTTTCTCGCGTTAATTTCATGCTGACGTGACACAGACAATTTTCAGTTTGCCAGTAAATCATTAACAAATGACAAATTAATAAAATACATACACATTAATATTGGCTAAGAGTTCCATTTTCAAAATTTGAACTTATTTTTTTATAATATCGTTTACAAGTGGCCAGTTCCAAAAGCTTTCAGTGTCGCACTCGTATTAAAAATTGCATTTTGCTTCTTAATCGAGGATAGATATACGAGTATATTATATGGGTCATAGTATTTAATGTGTTCGTTTGACAACTTTATACTAAGAAAATGTCTTTAATTAGCTGTACCTCATGCGTACCTTAACGTAAACTTAATGTGTACGTGTAGCGTGAGTATGCGTATGTAGGTGTACAAGTGTGCGTCCCCGCGGACGTATCTAGTTGTATTTTGATTCTTAAATGAGGATAGATGTAAGAAAAAAAAAACTTAATTAGCTCCCCCTTATACCGACCTAGCGTGTGCATGTAGCGCGAGTGCGCGGCGGTGCGGGCGAACGGGCGCGGCGGCGCGACGTGCAGCTTGGCGGCGAGCACGGCGCGCAGCGGCGCGGCGAGCGTCAGCCCCACCCACTCGCCGCGCCACCAAGACACGCTGCAAACCACCGCGCCCACCAGCTCCCGCCTGCCGCACCACACAATACCACCCGTTTACTACTCGCGCCGATAAACAATGGGGTTATAAATGGCGTCGTATCTATTCACCTCTCGCTTGCACACTGCCGATGTTTATTCCATTCGGTAGAGCCTATAAAAGTCCACTGCTGAACATAGGCCTCCCCCATAAACTGCCTCATATTAATATCTAATTTTGCCACAGTTGACACGCGCGGCGAGCGGGATGTCGACCGCAGTTTTCTATTATTTTGGATTGTTATCAGGAAGATGCTGCTCCCATCTCCTCCTCTGTCTCCTGTTACGACACCCACGGGACGATATTAGGTAGTGGATATACTTACACCGCCACTACACGGCGTCTATACCACAGTTTGAAGTGTTAAATTCTTTAAACTGTTCTCACACCCGTCAATAATAACCACAAAAAGTGTTTTTTACTATGACGTACCGTCATAGTAAAAAACAGAATAGTAGGATAATTTTCCGCGCCGCGTGAGACTTAAATGCCTACTGTTGCAGGACTGTCACTGCCTTTTTTACCAGCTAAGTCTCATTTAGTTTTATAAGTAGTTATAATATTTACAAACATAATACATACGGATACGTAAGAAATCAATGTTTATATTAAAACCATCATTTAAACCATCTTTATATTACAACAAATGCCAAATAACTAAAATACGTAATATACAAATAACGTAAATAAATACTGATGCTCAGTATGCTCAATAGATGATGTCAGCTCAGATTTAATGTTTAAAATTAATTTGATCTTTTTATTAAAATTCAACAAAGTCTCAAACAAAGACGATTGCGGAGCGCGGCGGTAGGCTTTCCCGACTCAGCCCGCTCTTCCCGATTTAGCAAGTGTCGTTATGTGCGTGCTGTGGCTCGTCCGTACTACGCGTGCCAGTCACGCAGCATATTAGCGGCGTTCGGTACATTTCTAGAAGATAGCCTACTATTCTGTTTTACTATGGTACCGTGTATGCTGACAATATAGGCCTGACGAGGCACCATTTCTAGTCCCGTTCTTTATTAACACGAGCTATACTAATTAAAAGAAGATTTGTGTACCCAGTAGCGAGTCTACAACCTACTCTTTTTTTTAAAGGTCGGCAACGGATTTGCAATTCCCCTGATGTTGCAGTGGTTCACGAGCGGCGGTAGTCACTTACCATGAGGTGACCGTATGGTCGTTTGCCCCCTCTTATATTAAAAGAAAAACTTTCATCGACTGTTGCTTTACTCTTTCTTAATGAATGGAACACACGAATGTGCGCATAAGGTGAAGCTTATGTTCGGCAATCGAATTTTGAAGACCAACCAGCGGCGTCTGATAATCGTACGATCATCAGACGCCGCTGGTTGCAACCAAGGTTTTCAATGGTAAACCTATTTGTTACGCAGTGTCATTGTCATTGAAAAGTTGTGTTTTTCGGTTTTTAATGTATGTATGTATATACACAAACAATGAGTTAGCGATGTATTCTTTAATTCTTTAAACATTTTTAGCTTTTTTTTTAATTCTACTACTTTTAGGCACATCCGTATTTTGGTTAATCCATTTCTAAACTTATTACTATAAAAATATAACTAATATTTCAGAAAGAAACATTCATCTCTACACATTTCTCATAAATGACTTCGCCCGCCATTAAATCTATCAAACCATTCCTAAGTGACGCTACCCTGATGGCTTAAAAATTATGTAATTAGTAAATGAATGAATTTGTAGGTAATTAAACTATTGTATATTGAAGTTAAAAGAAGCAATTTCTTTGCTTTGCAACGTACTTTGAACGACGGTTCCCTGGAGTATTGGCTTAGCATTGAGTCACAGTATGGAGGGACGCGGGTTCAAATCCCGCAATCAGCATTCGTATGGCTTATAAATAACTGGTCCGGGTCCGGATGTTCCTTCTTATGCAAATTAGCTATGTATGTAAAATGTCCCAGGATACAGGGTATAATCCTAATGTGGTGGAATATTTTTTTTAAACAACCTTTTAAATTGTTGTTATTGTACAATTGTGCAGCTTTACTAAATAACTGTGCTCACATAACATCCTCGGAGGCTATAGCTGAGACTCCAAAAATTATGCCGAGACACGAGACCGAGTCAGAAACTTAATTTAAGCCATTAGTTGGAAGAATTTGGATTTGGCATATTCGCATAAATTGATATCCATCGGATGCCGTATCTTAATAGTGAATCTAATCACTACCTACACGTTAAGTAGAAAACAGTTTGCGAAAGCCTCGGGTCTTAGTTCATATAATAGATATTTGGCCAAATTATTGCAAAGATAAAACATGTTTTGGAGGCAGCTTTAGCAACCGAAGAAACTGTTACTTGATAAAGCCACACTGCAGTTGTGCTCTACTTAACAGCACAAATGGGTGGGCGCGATCGGGGTACAACCACGCTCATACAGAACAACAGCGTGAAACTGTTACTTGATAAAGCCACACTGCAGTTGTGCTCTACTTAGCAGCACGAATGGGTGGGCGCGATCGGGGTACAACCACGCTCATACAGAACAACAGCGTGAAACTGTTACTTGATAAAGCCACACTGCAGTTGTGCTCTACTTAGCAGCACGAATGGGTGGGCGCGATCGGGGTACAACCACGCTCATACAGAACAACAGCGTGAAATTTGAAGCCACACTGCAGTTGTGCTCTACTTAGCAGCACGAATGGGTGGGCGCGATCGGGGTACAACCACGCTCATACAGAACAACAGCGTGAAACTGTTACTTGATAAAGCCACACTGCAGTTGTGCTCTACTTAGCAGCACGAATGGGTGGGCGCGATCGGGGTACAACCACGCTCATACAGAACAACAGCGTGAAACTGTTACTTGATAAAGCCACACTGCAGTTGTGCTCTACTTAACAGCACAAATGGGTGGGCGCGATCGGGGTACAACCACGCTCATACAGAATTACAGCGTGAAACAGCAAAATAATGTTGCTGTGTTGTCAGTGAAGTTTTTTTTAACTAATAACGGAACACTCCATCTCAGTCCTCAATGGTTACGACGTAGTTGATGATACATCAAGATGTTTATACGTCGTAGAGCCATGCTGCAGTTATATTAGTAGTATAGTTGTAGCACGAATAGGTGGCTCGACCGGGGAAGGACCACTCTCTCACAGAATACCATCGTAAAATAGTAGCTTTAATGCTGCTGCTTTTCGTATGGTGAGTGTAGAGAACCGGAGACTCTTTTTACCGGAAACAAGGCATTTCATCTTAGTCCTCACGGGTGACAACGCAACTGTATTTTGATTCGTAATCGAGGATAGATGTGATGTCTATGGGCCACATCAGCACTTCATTAACACTTACCATCAGATGGACTATGTGCGCGGTTGTCACCCTATAAAAAATGTCTATATAAGTATCCACTTAACGTCAGGAACACTTTGTACTCGTTTGTCGCTCTTATAATAATAATAATAATAAATGCTTTATTTCTTTAACATAACATACTTAAACAATATAGTAGATGGGTCCTCGTAGTAAGTTTAAAAGAAAACCTGTGTCTGGAGTCCCCGCTCTTCCTTATCTAAGAGAGTCACAAATAGGAAAGCATATTTCATTACATTGTTATAAATTACACGATTTACATTGTTTTAAATTAGCGGTAATTTAAATAAGATATATATATCTTATTCTATTAAAAACCAACGTTAAATATTTTAAAGGTATTTGTAAAACAATTAAAGAAAATAGATGTTGTTAATGAGGATTCCATTACAATGTTTTATTGATACGCCATTATCGCCGTATTCGTCGTAAGCCGTCATTTATAAAATGCAGCCTCATATACAAAGTTAATATTATCACTGTTTCGCATATATATATATATTTGATATATGCGAATAAAATATATATTTCGCATATATATTTTATTTACGTACGTGGGACCTTCATTGAAGACTGGGCCACCTTCCGAGCCCAGAGCAGTCGCTGCATCAGTAAGTAGGAGCGATGGTCGCTTGCCGACTACCCCGCAGACCGACCCTCTTGTCACCGCATTAAGAAATACCTAAAGCAAAAAATTCGCGTTAAACTGAGAAACGAAACACCTGAATGGTTTGAATATCTGCCTGTCAACGAAGTTTTTCTCCAAGTGTTTTATGTAGACGATTGAAATTTCGTACAAACATCTACATGTATCCTCGATTAAGAATCAAAATGCAGATGCGTTGTCACCCGTGAAGACTAAGATGGAATGCCTCGTTTCCAGTAAAAAAGGGTCTCCGATTCTCAACACTCACCATACGAAACACAGCAGCATTAAGGTACTATTTTTACGCTGGTATTCTGTGTGAGCGTGGTCCTGCCCTGGTCGAGCCGATCCAATAGTGCTACTCATTGGATACAATAGCTAAGTGGTCTGTAGAGGATAATAACATCATTATATGGACATCCGTCTTTTGTCCGTCCTTCTGTCCCTAATTGAGCGTCCATGGTAACGCAAGGTAAAAGTAATTGGGAATTCCCATTGATAAGGAAAATGTTTTCATGTTGAATATTTTTCGTGGCTTACCAAAGTAATAATATCAATTTTACTTATCGATATCTCCTCTTTTTTTCTTATTCATTGTCTTTGGTTGAAATCAAAGTTCGTGTTTTTTTTTTCTTTATATTGTTTTCAATTAAATTATAGAAAGAGGTTTCAAGTCGGTTGTAAATTTTTAGTTATTTTATCGTTTTGTTTTTTATATCTCTCATACATATTAATTTATTGAAATGATTATTCTATGCAATTTTATGAAGATGATGATAAAAGTGGAATTCCTGATCAGCAATTATAATAACTAATTATTAATGCAGTAGTTTAGTGAACAGCAGCTGTTATCCGATTTTCATAGGATTTCATTTAACTTGCTATTTTTCTTAAGTTATAGGTTTAAAATTCGACATACTTATGTAACTTCGATGGCAATGCAATAATATCGTACCTCGGAGTTGATTTCACAATTACCTAGATACGTCTATGAAATCTTGGTTCCAAATAGATTTTATATTATTATTAATTCAACCGTCAACCGTCGAATCCGAGCTATTATATGTTGGAACGATTTGTTTGCATCAAGGATTCGTTGTCGCTTTATTCTTCTAATAATAAAATAGAACAATTTGACGCCGATGACTGGATTTTAATTCAAGAATATTAATTAAACAATATTCTTAATGGAATTTGATAGTTTTTCATTCCTAGCTAATTAACCATATTTGCAGAGTACGTATTGAAAATTAATAAAGTAAAAGATCCGCCAAAAAAGTAAAGGATGTGGATACGAATACGGATCTTTCTTAACCCTCGTATATCCGTGGATACGGATACGAATACGAATAGCCGGTACATCATACATAAACACTCACGCCTGTCACCGAGAGGGGTAGGCAGAGACTACAGACTTCCATTTGGCACGATCCTGACACACCTCTCTCGCCTCCTTCACATCCATACACCTACGCATGCATGCTCGTCGGTTAAGGGTACTCCTAATTTGGCCCGTTTTCAATAAATCGCCAATTTGGTCGATAAATTTTCGCCTAGGACGTCCCTTTCCGACTCTGCCATTCACTTCTGCAACATAAATTTTCTTTGTCACTCTTTCCTCATCCATTCTTTCCACATGACCAAACCACCGAAGCATTCCTTTCTTAATCCTGGTCACAACATCATCTTGCAAACCACACTCTTATCACACAATTTTTCACCCTGTCATTCAGATTCAGCCCTAACATACTCCTTAACGACCGCATTTCTACTGCATTTATTCTACTCTCGTGCTTCTTCTGCCGCACCCAACTTTCACTACCATACGTTAAAGTAGGGACCAACACAGCATTGTGAATTGCCATACGTGCCTTTTTTGACACATTTTGACTCTTCACAATAGAGTGCAGGGCTCCATTTACTCTGTTTCCTGCGTTCACTCGTCGTTCTATATCCTTATCATATCTCCCATCCCTGCTAAATACGCAACCCAAATATACAAACTCATCTACTTGCTCGATCAACTCCCCTTCTATTCTTATTTCACATATCGTTTTACTTTCATCTCTTTCAAAACCCATAATTTTTGTCTTACTTGCGTTCACTTTCATACCCCTTTCTTTTAATGATCTGTTCATTAATGTAACCATCATTTGCAACTCAGCCGCCGAAGACGCAAGAATAACTTGATCATCGGCGTACAAAAGGCATTTGATGGTTAACTCAGCCATTCTTAACCCGCATTCTTCAACTTTCAAATTTTGCAAACAACTATCCACATATAGGTGGAACAGCCACGGGTAAGCCACAAAGCCCTGTCTGACACCTTTATGGATGCCAAACCAGATAAACCGAGTAGACCCCGTTGATCCTAACACAAGCACTAGAGTCACTATAAAGAGACTCCAATGCCTGTATCAAGCCAGCGCTCAACCCAAATGAGTTCAGTGTTTGCCATAGCACATTCCTATCCACTCTGTCATAGGCTTTCTCCAAGTTTATGAACGCACAAAAAACCTTTTGGTTTTTGGCCAAAAACTTCTCCGCGATCATGCGCATGGAGAAGACTTGATCTGTACATCCCATTCCCTTTCTAAATCCCGCTTGCACATCCCAAATTTTTCCATCGGTTTCTTTCATGACCCTTTCAATTAGTACCTTGGCATACAGTTTTCCCACGATGTTAAGAAGGCTGATACCGCGGTAGTTTTTACAGTCCTGCTGTGACCCTTTTCCCTTATATACTGGGACTATCACGGCTTTGCACCAGTCTCCCGGTACCCGCTTCAGTTCCCAGCATAAATTAAACAAGGTATGCAGCAGGCCTGCCACCACTTCCTCTCCAGCCCTTAGCATTTCGAGTGAAACTCTATCATATCCGGCAGCCTTACCTGCTTTCATGCTTTTCATTGCTTTCATTATTTCATCTATACTTATCTCGCTACCTCCTTCCTCTTCTTTCGGAGTTCCTATTTCATTCAGTTCATACGTTGTCTCCTCACTCATAAACATGCTTTCAAAATATTCCTTCCATCTCTTTAAACTCAAAACTTCATCATTCAGAATATAGCCATTCTCATCTCTTATAGCATTCATTATAGGCTGTTTTGAACATCCCCTGGCAGTTCTTACGAGTTTCCAGAACATTTTAATATTTGTCTGGAAGTTATCCGATATTCTTCTATCATTCTTATCCGTTCTTTCTTGCTTTTTCCTTTCAACTTCTTCTTTTACTCTTTTATTTAGATGTCTAAAGACTGCCTTTTTTCTTTCAAAATCATCATTCGTACCGCTAGAATTACCAGCCTTAGTTGCTAGTAAATCTAGCCATGCTCTCTTCTTTGCTTCAACTTCCGTACGTATCTCATCATCCCACCATAACGTATTATTTTTCCTTTCATTCTTTCTTTTACTAACACCACATACTTCGGTAGCTGCATCTACTAAACCTTTCTTAACATTTTGCCATACATTCTCCAAGTCTAACTCATTCATACATAATTCATCCAAACCACTTACGTTTTCTTTCAGTCTACATTTGAACTTGTTTTTATCACTTTCATCTTGTAAACTTTCTGTTCTAATACGCTGCAACGCAGTGGTAGACACAGATGACCGATGGCGCCACCGCCTGAATAGACCATTAATTCGGCATAAAACCAAAAAATGATCCGTTCCTACGTTTGACCCCCGGTAAACCCTTGTATCCACCACTGCGCCCCTCAATCTTTCATCCACAATTATGAAATCTATCATGCTTCTATCATCACCTCTTTCCCAAGTGTACATGTGAATCCTCTTGTGGCGAAAGAAAGTGTTCGTCACAAAAAGATTCTTTTCCATACATACAGTGAGGAGGCTTTCACCATTCTCATTTATACTTTCATCACCAAACGTTCCCAATATCCTTTCATAACCAAGCCTCCTCACCCCAACTCTTCCATTAACTCACTATTATTTTATAAATGGAATGAGAAAATCTATGGGAGTCTTTGACTTACCTCACATCCGAAAGGTGTGGATTGCACTTCAATAATGGACCCACGATCAGGAGGCGGTCGCACCAAGTCCAGCAATTCCGACAATGGCCTCAATGTCTTCAGCACTGTAATGGAAATGTTTTTTTTTTAATTTAAACAAATTTTATTACGAAAACTTACTTGGATTACTTCCAGCCGTTAAATTCCTTAATGTACACTGCTAAAAATTTCAAAATTACATTCACATCATCGCGATAATTAGCAGTCCAGTTGCGTGTATTTGACAAGGAATTTCCTGCCACTTACAGACATTGTGATAATGTAAATTTCCAGTAGTTTTTTTCGGACCGGTATGACTTAGGTACCTTCAAGGAAAAAGCGTAAGTACTTTTTTTTTAAAAAGCTGAATACGCACCTGCAGTTCCGTGGCGGGCGCCGTTAACCACTTATTATTATTAGGTGAGTTGTATGTTCCTTTGCTTATATCTCTTTATAAAAATGTGCAAAAGAATTTGCATCAATGTTACCTATGCCTCTATGGAAATTACAATTGAATAAAATTTGCCTGTTGGAAACTATCTCTTATTAATTGATACGTATTCAAAATACGTAAATGCACCTCGAAAACAACGAATAATCGAATATTTGGTCGAATCCACCCTTAAAGGCACAATTTTCCACTGAGCGAAACGTTAGGAATGTGCAGTCATTATATTGTGGTTGTTTTCGTAACCATTTTTTCCGCAATGCGTTAAGCAATGAGGTTTTTCAGATAACTTTCGCTTAAATAAAAAGATCGTATTATATTTTTTAAATATTATTTATTCTACAGTCCTGTTTTAAGCGTGGTGCGGAATTTATTTAATAGGCCCAATATTATTTGTAACCATTTCAACTTTTTCAAATATTTTGAACTGGCCATAAATTTTTAAACACTGTTTAATTTTTTTAATATATGTTTGACACATATTCGTCTAAACGTTTTCGTTATAATATAAAATTATAAAATTGTGCTAAGACACAAACATCAAACGTGATCAAACGTCTGTGAAATGTCTTGCGGTTGTGAAGAAAAACTGTCGCGAAATTATTACAGATATTACGATACGCCCGATGGATGTGATGTTATGAAAAAGGTATGGTATAAGTATAACGGTTGGGTATAATTTCAACAATATATATACCTAACATAATAACATAATAAAACCAAAAATACATACAAATAACATAATACCTAACGATATTATTTAAATACTTTGGTGATAAAACATACATAATATATTGCATTTATATTTGTAGAAAACATTTGGAAATATAAATTTTTATTTTCAAATTTGCTAAAACTTGATAGCAGATTGCAAAAGTATCTGAAAATTAGATCAATAATTTTGTGCTTCCTTCCTAAGACTACGCACTTAAGAGTAACTTTTATATTTTTTTACGTTAGGTACAAGATAATAGACAGATAATAAGACAAACGCGCTTACTGTATCTTGGATTGATTTCACTTTCATACTATTGGAACTAATCAGGAACAATAAGTTAAAGTAGCAATGAGCCGGCTAAATAGCTTAACAGATCAACAACCTTTGAAAAAGAAAGAGTGCCAGCATCTAAGGTCTAAGCGGAGTGTAGAATATAATCAAGAAGCCCATATCGAATCAGGTGGCTCAGATTGGCAGGCTCGTATGTTTAACAACGGACATGTTGCGCGCTGTAATGACGATAATTATTGCGACTACTGGGTAACCGCAGACCTTTTATCAACCGACTTCAAAAAACGGGGATGTTCACAATTCGATTGTATTTTTTAATGTGTTACCTCATAACATTTTTCTAGGTGAACCGATTTGGATGATTCTTTTTATTTGAAAGGTGGTACGTCTCACGTGATCTCATACAAATTTGATCAAGATCTGACCAGTAGTTTTTGAGTTATCCTTAATAATGCCATGCATGTTTAATTGACTTCGACTACATTGATGATGTTCTCATTTTATTTACAATGACGCAATCGAAGTTTTTAACGATACCACTTGTGTTTTTTTTTACAGACAATGGTAACAAGTCGCTACGGCGCTATTACTGGCTTAATATTTTCGACGGTCGACGTTTTATTTTTTTCACACGCTGTGGGAATTGGTCCAATGTTAAAAAGGTAAGGAATGTTTTATGTATAATTCCCTTCGTCATTAATACATGAGGCGGTTGGTAGCGGCACGGTGATTTTAGTAGCGGCGTTTGAGAAACCATTTTATTTGGTTGTCATAATGGCGTCTAGAGGAAAGGTTAGAAAGACTCTCGTGTGCTCTCTCATGGATTGCGATTGATAGCGGAATGCCATTTCGCATATCCACACAACAGTATCTGTCTAAATGGCGTCATTTCTTGTATGTCGCAACAATTTCGGCTTGTATTTACCGCCCGGGAGAAATAATTTACGGTACAGATCTCGTCTTATTTCCGAGATGATTATGAAAATGATTTTGAAACAGCAGCCGTCAAGATTTAGACGCGCTGCCCCATTGCATGTTTATCCTGGTGGATCAATAAAAAATAATCCGCGCAACAGAACACATAGCTGATGTAAAGCACCGACGCTCCGAGAACCTGCAGTATGTCAACATAGTTAGGATCATTGATAGACCACAAATATTCGACAAAGAAGAAAGATTCCAACCAAGGATGATTCGCGAGGCTATTGATATTAAAATATCCCTTTTTTTGGAAATCCACAATAGGGCACCTATTCTATTTAAATAAGGAAGATGTCTGGGTGCTACTATCTGCTTGGCATCCCAAAATTCGTAAAATCATAACCAAGTCCAAGCATACCACTGCAAGCCTCCAACATACCGTAAGCTCTGCCTTCTGCGTAGATCGGGCAAAAATATTGTTTAAATGTTTAAGGTTTTTTTTAATAGGATAAGGGTAACAAACGAGTACACAGTCCACCTGGTGCTAAGTGGTTGTTGCGGCCCTAAGACATCTACATCGATCTCGATCACAAATCAAAATGCATTGTCACCCGTGAGGACTAAAATGGAATGTCTATTTTCTAAGAAAAAGGGTCTCCGGTTTTCTAAATTCACTATACGAAACGGTAGCGTTAAGCTGCTATTTTATGCTGGTATTTTGTGAGAGCGTGGTCCTATCCCGGTCGAGCCGACCCATTCGTGCTACAACTATACTACTTATATAACTGCAGCATGTCTCTACCACGATTACGTAGGTAGCCCTTATTAACTATAACGTCAGGACAAAAACTACACTTCAGTCTCCTCGTTTACTATGGCTGCTGTAAAGCGCCCGAAATGTCAGGATTTAAAAAGTTGAAATTACATGAACATAAAACTGTCACCCAGATACGCAGATACTACAGACTTCTACGTTCTTCTACGTTGAGGATACTCTTAATTTGGCCCATTTTCAATATATCGTAAATTTGGTCGATAAACTTTCGCCTAGGACGTCTCTTTCCGACTCTTCTGTTCACTTCTGCAACATTAATTTGCTTTATCACACTTTCCTCATTCATTCTTTCTACATGAACAAACCACCGAAGCATTCCTTACTTATTTCTGGTTACAACATCATCTTGCAAACCACACTCTTCTTTTATCACACTGTCACTCAGATTCATCCCCAACATACTTGTTTAGGCCTAATTTAACGTTTGGCGGCCTGCGTCGGCGCTCGGGTCGAGCGGGAGGCGAGCCTGACGGCTGAGGCGCGGGGGGGTGCGGGCTGGTGCGGCGTCCGGCCGCGCCGGCGTCGGCGGTTTGCGAACACTTGCCGCAGAGCGTGGAACTGAGTAGTTGCGCGTCGTGTTAATAGCTTAGTCGCCCGCTGCCTCTGACGCCTATACTTCGCGAACCTGAGTTGTTTGCAACGCGGCCCGGTGATATTGCAATTTTCACAAAGGTCGAGTTTGTTGTAACGCGAGTTCGGTTAAATCTTGTTGGATTTTATTGGATTAACCTAATGACAATTGACTTGACTCCAATTAACGAGTGAGAAACGAGTGTAATTTCCTAGATTCTTAAATTTTTGTGACGGACTGCCACTTCGATATAAAGAATAAAGGTGAAGCCTTGGGATCGGCGGTTCTGCAACCAGCGGGAAGTCAGGTTACATAATTTAACACAATCACAACACAACACAGTCAAGCACGCCCACACTTACACCTGAATCTTCCTAGGGTTGACCCTACTTCGAAGAAATAGGTAAGTTTTGTTTGGTTCCCTTTTTACCGCTAACGTGTAATATTCCACAAGCCATTTAGGCCGACCTCCTGTTACTCGTCGAGTGGAACCCCTGATGGGCCCGGGTCCCACGACCTTGCCCGGGTAACTAGAGGCCGTAACATTTGGTAGCAGTGCGTGGTTTTCCTGATGGGTTTTGAAACCACTCCCAGCTCAATACGTAACATTTTGGTAGGAGTAGCGTAGTCTCCCAGCGCAATACGTAAGTTGGTAGCAAGATAGCGGTTGTAACCACGTGGCTGCTGGTTGTGTTTGTTGCAATACGTAATAATAATTTGTTTTAGTCGCTTGTTATTTGTTAGCATAGGATCGGTGTATAGAACCGTGTAGTAACCGTATCTTTTGAGTTTTTTATTTACTTTATCTGGTCGCTTACTTTGTTAAGTGTTAGAATTGAGCCACGCCCGTAAGCCGTGGTGGTAAGGAATTATTGTACTCTCGTTATAATAATCGTGAGGACGAACCGTAATTGTACTAATTAAATTAATTGCGTAGTATAATTTACTGATTGGATAAATAGTATTTTGTATTGTATTATTTTTATTGTGATAATTAAACTAATTGTGTAAAGTAATTTGTACTAAATTTAAATTAAAGTAATTTGTACGGTGATAATCGTACCTTGTAATGATGCCTTCACACCGGTCACCGACGCTTCGCTTACAAGCGGAACTGCGCTGGGCTGCGAATGCTCACAGCTTGATAGGGAGACCAGATAGAATCCATAGCTTGGAGAAGCGGCTCGAGCAAGTCATGGCCCGAAGGGCCGTAGTGGAGGAGGCATGCTCCGAGATTATGGCTTCGGGAGCGGAACAGGGAGTCCTAGACTCCTGTCTTTCCGACTATGAGCAATTTTTTGC